ATTCAAACAACACCTTTCAGAAAAAAACATTTCCTTCTGTTCACCTACACCCTAGCAGACTTCACAGTCAATCCTCAAGGCTGATGAAATATTTTTCCCATAAATCCCAGCAGTGTTGAGGTAGGAACAAGCAAGTCCGTCAGCACTGTCAGCACCAAAGTGCAAAGCAGAACATGAAGCACCAGAGACTTCTGGGATCAAAGTTTGTCATCCATAGGCTTTTGATGTCTAAGCACAACAGCCAAGCGGTGTAGAACCCTCAAAACCTGTCCATTTTCAATCTGAAAGTCAAAAGGGTTTTTCCCCACATCTTGAACTGTCACCTTTAACTTAAGAACCACTTTAGTTTACCTGTCATAGATGAATACTGAGACACAGCATTTCTTAGATTATCAGTAACATCCATTCTAATTCATTCAGCATTAGGAAAAATACAGCCAGAAAGTACTCAAAACTGATATGCAGGATATGGTAAATCCACAGTGTATCCTCTACCTAAGGATTTATCTTGCTAGCTTCATTCCATCCTTTTGTAACTTCTAGATTGAGGCAAGCACTGTATGACTGACATATTCCAATACAGCAACTTCATTCAATTCCACTATTTAATAAAAATAGCAGAAAATGCCACCCCCTACTTGTAATATGCAACCACATTCGCTGACAACTTCAACAGCTGCAGGTAACTCTGCAAAGACTGCTCAGGAAACCACGCTTCAGGGAAACAAAAATTTGAGATCCATGTGTGGCACAATAACAAAATATTACCATATTTCCATAAAAACACTGCAAAATCTTTTTTTTTGCTAAAACAATTGCAATCTTTTATCATCAATTAAAAATTTTTAGATTCTTCAAAGTCAGGTGTGAGCGGATGGCTGCTATTGTCCCTACATTATTTCTATTAGTGTAAATTTGCCTTAGAGCTGTGAATTGCTTTTAGAAATGAGGTATTGACTGAATATACTATCTTGAGCATAATTTTCTTTGTCATTCCACATCACCTTGTTACAACTGATTTCCATTTTGACAGACTCAATAGCTCAGTTTTGTTCTATGCAGAATTCTGTTGTGTTCTGCCAGTCACTTGATATCAGGAAATGTTTGCAGTGCTTAGCAGTTTATTGAAGTAAAATAGGTAAAGACACAGCTCAAGGGTAATGGGACTTCTAAGAGCAAGCAATGATTGAGGATCTTCAGAACCATTCTTCTAAAAAAAGGATTTTAAGATAGGAATCATCAAGGTAGAAACCTAAAGGATAGATAAAAATTACTTATTCACAATCTGATGGTTTGAGTTACTACATATGTTATCATATATGTCAGAAAGCAATTAAGTTTAAGTGATCTACTGCATTTAGTTAATATAAATGCAGTACTTCTGTTTTCTTCATATCTAACAGGTTGCAATAAAAGTTAAAATATTCTGAAGTAGCCAGCTTGTGATTAAATTTTTACTAATTTAATACTTACAGAACTATTTCTTCCAGTTGCCCGAGATTCTTCCAAGAAAACAAAAGCCTGCAATGGTGTACTGGTTTTCCACACAATAATTACTTCTTTCATGGCTATTTTGGAAGACAAACTTTAAAGATGTAGATACTTTTAACATGAGTTAAGGGCTGTCTCCAAATGCATTAGAGCAGCATAACATTTTGTACTCCAATGCATATGTTCTTCATCACTTGAGTGCAAAAGTTTCATTACAAGACCATGAAAAGGACTTGGAGCAGCAGCAGATTCAACGCCCTGCCTTTCAAGCTTCAGCTAAATCCAAAGAAATTTTCAGCACTCTAGAGCTAGGCTACTTGGGCTCAATGATCCTTGTGGGTCGTTTCCAAATCGGCATACTCTGCAATTCTGTGAACTTCCTTTGAACATCTTCAAGAGCACAGACTCACCCCAATTGTGGTAGCAGAAAACTCTGAGCCAGACAGGACCTTGCACTGTAGGGTAACAGAAAAAATGAAGGCAAAAATGTACAGATGGGAATCAGGATATTCACCCAGACCTGGGAGAAAGCCTACAGCTCCTGTTTAGTGCCTAGTTGTGATCAAATAACCACACTGAAAAAATCTATCAAGGACCATATTCCAAGGCTTCTCAGGCTGCACAGAAATCTATTTCCCAACAATTATTTAGATTCCTGTCCCCCTTTTCTGTTTATAGTGTAGAGACAGGACCAATCTCTGCTTTCTTTTGGATGAATTCTGCTACCTCTGTAGGAAGAGACCAAAAAAGCTTGAAAGAGCTAGTAGTGAGTGGGTGGAGTGCTTCTGTTTTCAGTCTGTTGTACAACAGCACCATCCAGCTGTCAAACAAAAAAATTATCAAACATTAATGCCACTATCCAGATTTGGTCCTTGTATCACAAGCAAAATGAGTAATTACACATATTTTAGAAAAAAAACAAACCAAAACCCAACCCACTGGTCCCTTCCCTGTTTCTTAATTATATTGATCCACTGTGTTATACTTTCTGGTTAACATACAAGAGTGTGCTTTAGGGAAATTAACAATGCAGCCCAGTTTTGGTTTTTTTATCACAGTAAGAGTGGCAAGCTGCAGCTTACCTCTGTTTCATGAAGTGTGGAATGTAAGCTCTCAGGTATGAGGAAACGACCATTATCTTTGGCTCACAACCAAAGGTAGTTAATCACACTACAAAAATTAATGGAAAAATCTCAACCCGTAAGAGCCTATGTTTAAGCTATCACACTTTACCACTCGAGCTTCAGCAGTGAAAGCAAGAACAGCAACCTCAAGTGAGGGATAAAAATAATAAAAACTCATACTCAAGTAACAGATCACTCCTGAGAGACATTACGACATGAGGAAGAAAACTCCTTGCTCCCCCAAGATTTTTTATAAACTTGTGTTATTTAACAGTAAGGAATATGCAATGGAAATAAATGACATTCCCTACAACAGATGACTGATTACCTGAATTAAAGCAACAAGGTCACTGCTTAAATTTCCCTCAGTTCTACACTAAGCTCATTTCTGTTGTAACATCCACGGGGAGCCTACCATGTACATCCACTAATGATCAGAAGTTCAGTTCTACACTAAGCTCATTTCTGTTGTAACATCCACGGGGAGCCTCCGTGTACATCAGAAGCCTAATGTTAGACTACTGTTCATGCATTACATGTGCCTTAGCCCATCCTGTGAGCCCACATTCTGGCATTGACACCTGAAAGTAGTAATGCATCTCCTTCTCTGATTTTTTGAAGACAAGTACTCGTTCTTTACAAACACTTTACAAAGCAGCACAGGGTACCTATCAACGCCAAAAGATAGGCTAGTCATCCTTTAAAAGAAAATAACATCAGTGGAAGCTTCCCGAGCAAATCTTGTCAGGAAAAAACAAACAAACAAACAAAAAAAAAACCAAAAAAAACTTATAATAACATCAGTGGAAGCTTCCCGAGCAAATCTTGTCAGGAAAAAACAAACAAACAAACAAAAAAAAAACCAAAAAAAACTTATAAGTGCAACAGTTAACCTAAGAGAAAGAGCATTTCTACATGCAAAGAAAACCTGAAAGGAAATCCTAGGATAAATGAGATAACGTTAAGGAACTTGAGCTTATACAAAGAAGAATCAGCATACCCACCTCAAGAACAAGAAGATGTTTTTCTTGCACATGAAATATACTGTAGATTTTAACATAAGCCCAGAATTTAAGAGCACAACAACAAAAAAACAGCAAGCACTAGAATAGTAGTTAAAGCCATAGGAGCAAAGAACATGTCCAAAGATACAACAGAGGTGGCAAATGACAAACCTGTGCCAAGTAGGAGAGAAGGTGCCCTTAGACACCGAGGGAGGCAAAAAGCCAGAAAGGCAGCAAAGGCAGAAGAGTCTGAAGAGACACAGCCCTAGGGAAGAGGACAACAGCTTCCCAAAATCCGTAGATGAACAAGATCAAAGAGAGGCATGGTTAATGAGGAAGTATTATGACTAAGTTTAATGAAAGCAAGAAGTTCTCTCACTATGAAAGAGAACAGAGAACACACGACCTTCAAAAGGAGCTGTATGAGAAAGTCACTGCAAGAACTACGTCATTAGATCAGAGACAGAACAAAGGTACTAGAAAAAACTGCAATGAGGAGAGACCAGAATATTAAAATCAGTCAAAAAAACTGGTGTCAAATGGGCAAAAAAATGAGGAAAGATTGGTATGTAGGAGGGTATTAAAAGATAGCAAGGATGTGGCAGAAAGAGAAAGCCCTTGAATGTAGAATGAAAGTATTTTCAGCTCCACACACAGGGGAACAAAACCAAAACAATAAAAACCCTAAAAACAAAACAAACCAACCAAAAAAAAAAACCCCACCAAAAAACAACCAACCAAAGACGACAACAACAAAATAAAAACAAAACCAAAAAAACTACAAAAACAGGAAAATGTCGAAGTTTGTACTTTAGGTGAAGAGAAAGTAATTTGAAATAAAGAATCTTATGGCCTAGATGGAAGAAAGTACATTTTCCTTGCCAGGAACTGACAAGAGAACTTGTGACATGTTTGAAGGCTGTACAGCTTTGCTTGGAGAATTTCATACTCAAAAGGCATAAAGTTACACATTCATTCCAACGGAGAAGGTAGGATCAATCAATTTCAAAACTCAGATGTAAACAGAGAGCAGAAAGGAAGAGCAAAAGCAGATTTTATGGAGTTACTAGTCAGATCAAACAACAAGGAAACCGCCTAAAATCACTGCAAGCATAGAAATAGGCCTACAGTGGAAAGAAACAAGACAAGCCAGACAGGAGAAACAGAAAGCCATGAAGTCTTTCCAAAACAGTCTAAATAGAGAGACAACACTTTTACACCATCCTTCATGAGGTCAGCCAGAGTTCTGCCAAGTTGATCCCAGTAAGAACTAAAGGATTTCACATGGAACCTGAGCTCATGACAGTAGTTTTTCTGTTTTATCACAGGATACAAACTTTTAAGCCAGAACACCAGAAGTTAAAAAGTAAAAAAACACTGCTTTCACTAGACAGCAACCTGTTTACATTTATTAGTAGTTTAATTTAGCTAAAAAAAACCCCAACAACCTTATTTAAGATTAGAGTACCTGTTTAAACTGAGCTTTGTAATCTTGTATGAGTAAGCATTTCCAAACCCCAGGTTTCAGCTGTCCAGAGTCTTAGATAGATGTACTATAGTTAAACCTGCCATGTCACTCAGAGGATCTGTTTACATGTCTGCAAGTCCCCCCTGCCTGCCCGCCACCAAAGTATCTATTTACTATCTGCAGAAATTACTATGCAGCTCAGACCTGAGGAGTTCAGTTTTATCTTCAGTCTCTCTAACCTTCTAACTAGCAGAGCTTGCAGATCTGACTTACTGCAAGCTTCTGCTGTCACTGACAAGTGCAGTGGCAGACCCAAGGACAAGCTTGGTGGATTTAGGATTTTACTTCATGAACAGTCTTATTTAAACTGGGGACACAGAATTCAACATGTGAAAATAGTGATGAAATCACACATAGTAAATCCATACTATTGAGCAGAACAGCTGAGTGCAAGAAACATGTTGCATGTACCAGCTTCTCAACCTGCTGCAGTCTTAGAACCACATTGCAATGCTCACCAGCCCATCGTTTCAAACAGGCTTTCTTCAAGTCACATTAATTTTATATTTAACCTTGCATTTCACAGCAAAGTAGTTTCTACTTCCAAAAGTTTCTACACAAGTTGCAGTGAGACCCATATCTTCCAATAAAGAGAGGCCAGGTTCCTATACAGGAAATAGGAACAAACCCAGGGAAGCTCTATCCGAGAAAGCTCACACATTTCAAAATTTAAGACCTTATTTTAATCCAACATATGGCAACTGTAAAATCCAGTTCTTAAAATGGTAACTTGCTGCTGCTAAGTCTTCATATGTACAGTGACAACAGTCCATCAATTCAGGTTTCTAGTCAGTAGGGCTTCCCCATTGATTCCAAGATTTTCTTTCTTTCTTCTGCTGAGGGCATCTCTGGTTTCACACCACTTCTCTTCCTTTGCATCATAATTCCATGCTGAAAATAGAACAAAGTAACCATGAGAACAGATTTCCCTGAGCTCTGAATGAACAAGATTCTTTAATAGGAAAATGCTTCATATAGCAAGACCCAGGTAACTCTAAAAGCCTGATTAGCTGGTAACTAAATGTACTAGTAGTTAGTTCAAGATACCTGATAGTTTACCTTGCTGCTTCAGAATACAGCCCAATCAGTATTCCCATTACTCTATGCCAGACCAATGCACATTTGTCTGTAAATAGGTTTTTTTTGTAATTTGCCTAAGTATTTAAAGGCTAAGCTAAAACCTCTTTACTTCAATGGTATAAGGAAACAGCAGAAAACAGTTTAACTGCACATAAATCTTCATGGTATTTCTCCACCACCAAACAAGCTTTATATCAGGTTAAAGTAAACATGATCCAAGCCAGTGGGAAACCAGATAACCTTACCTTGCCTCAGAATTTTTTCACTGCATCAGTTTAAGAGAGAACTTATTACTAGAAATATGTGACTCAAGTTCAGAGGAAAGAAAAAATCAGGTACTGCAAGAACACTGACTCACAGTCTAAGAGAGTAAACCCAGAACAATCAAGTGAAGTTTTTTGATGTGCATGTGCTTAAGTCTTACAGCAACGCATACTGATACTACCTGGGCTGGTAAGTTACCATAAAAACATCATTAGCTGAGTTTGAAGGGTTTAGAAAGCAGCATGTCAAAAATAATGTACATAAAGCAAAGCAGGGAGTAAAATTTAGAAAGTTTACTGTGCTTACCCAGAATTTTCTGCAGTTTTTGTACTTCAAAAAATAATCAGTACACATATCCTTGTTATAGTTGTTGTCATCCATACATTTTGTAGTGGCATCTGTTTCCTTTAATAGGGGAAAATATACTTCAGAGCTGAGGGAAGTTACTGTACTCAGTGTTTAAATATTTTAACAAGTCCCAGAATATCTATGAAGATAGGAGTGAGCTCTTCAGATGAAAGAACACTATCAAAGAGAGCAAAGTAACACCTATTACAAAGGAACATCAGTACTTCCAAGCAGTGATTTAATGTGGAGATAGCAGTGAATAGTACTCTTCAGACAGTAAGTGCAGAGTCCATAGAATATTTGTTTACAATGATGCTTGGTATAACTCACAAAAGACTTTAAATAACCAAGCTTGTCTAACCAAGATTTCAGGCTCTGGTTTTAGGGACAGAAAATTTAAGAGACTGCCAGCAGTTGTATTACTCCTATTTATTAGGGGAATTAACTTATTATTTCATGCTTATTATAATGGATGATTTTCAGCCCTTCCCATCTTCAAACTCTAAAGAAACTTTTAATGCAAAGTGCTATAACACCAGTGTGTTATCCACAAAATATTCCCCTAGAAAGTGCATTATTTGGCATTGAAATGTACAGACAGAAATCTGAATTTGATCATCTTACCGCTAGACATGGATTTATATCGTGATCTCTAAGCTTTTTTGCATGCCTGGACATTCTAGACAGATACTCGTACCTTGGCTAGAAAGGGAAAATAAACAGGTTAAGTATCCACTTTTAACAGTAACTCAGGATTAAGTCTGAATTTCAGGATGTAATAAAGACCTTCTAGCAACACACAGTTTTGTTATCTTAAAAAGAATACTAAACAAAGCAACAAACCTTCTTTTGCAAAGTGTTATTTCAAGAGCTGTAACAGCCCATTGCCAAGACTGCTCATTACCTGATAAATTCCTGCAGAGAAGGGAGCCACTGCAGCTCTCACACCAGCCTGTGTATGATGGAGGAAGTGACCACGTGTAGGAGAAACAGCTCCATAGAAGCTTTCACAGCCAACACACTGTAGACACTTCAATTAAGTAGTGTGTGGGAGGAATGTACAAGTAAACTTTTCCAGATTTGTTCCTACTCCTTAGCTGGATCACATCTGCATCATCACTGAGCTCTCTCAGGTACGACAACTGCCCAACTATCTCCTATGTTGCTGTAGCAAATATTTAATAGAAAAAGAACTGGTTTCACCGCAAGGTGGGACCAGACCCACTTACACTGTGTATGACAGCTTGAATCATATTTTTTACCATTTAGCAGTTTGACACTGACTCTGTAAGCTTGAGAGACACAGAGTTCAGTGCCAAGACTCTACACTGATCCAAGATGATGACATCAAGATGAACAGCAGACCCTCTTTCCCTTTACAGCTTCCTATACATTGGCTCCGGCACACATATGGTGATACAGGTACGTGTTCCAAACAAATACTAAATCTAGCAAAAAATAAATTAATGTTGACCAGATGACTGCTTGAATCAATGCAATCAGAAACACGCGACAGAGGGAGAGAATTAAAGTACTGCTAATGAGGGGCACAAATTAATCTTGTTGGTTTTTACTTACTTGAAAAAAATCGGTGCTAATCTTTAACCTTGACCTGTTGCTGTGCACATTAGGGAATGATAAGTGCAAGTCTGCAGTAAAAAGCCTGTTTTGCTTGACACCAGATTAAAAAAAAATAATTCAAACACTGCTCTTTATAGCTCATAGAAAACCATGCTTTAGATGGGGTTTCTTCCTTGGGTAAGAGTAAACTATTTCCAGCAAATAAGCCCTAGGTTTTACAAGCTGTGCATGTATACTTTCCTGATGCTTAGAGTACCCTTTGCTTTCCATATAATTATCTTCTGCAAATGGGCCTTTTAATTAACAGCATGGGTGGGGGGGGTAAATGCTTTCACTTTCCTTTGAGAACTATCCAGTGCTTAAGTTAATTTCACAAGCCAGGCAAATGTTCTCTTTTTTGATGGGTGGAAGTGCATTTCTGATGAGGCACTTCCAACTCAAATGGAAACACAAGCAGGTATACTAGCATCATCACAGACTTCGAGAAAGGAGGAGAGAAGGGAGAAGTAGGAAGCAAAAGAAGCATACCACGATGCCTCACCTAATTCACCACAAGAGAAACAAGATTTTTCACATGTTTGCATATCTGTGTTATAACTCCGCATTTCATTGCTATTACCGCCTAAGCAGACATGCCTCAAGGTGTACAGTGTCACTCTGACTTCAGACTTACTCTCTGAAAGACTACTTACTCTCTGAAAGAATACTTGTGAGTCATAGGATAGGCCGTCATAATCAGTGTTCCTTATACAAACTGCATTTGACACTTTCAGTGTAATTACACTACCAGAGTCTGCAACCGTGCCCAGTCTAAGGAACAACGCACGCAAACCATTAAACACCTACTTAACGAGTAAGCAGTTCAGGTTCTAATGAAGATGCACAGCTCGGAGCAGGCAAACGCTTAAACATTCTTAGTACTACCCAAAAGGTCTGATAGCTCCTGCGCGTGTTGCTCTCTCCCCCTCTCCGAAGTACTTCAGACTTGAAACACTATCAGCTGGAAGGGCAGGCGGGTCACGCCGAAATGCTGCTGTGTGACTGAATGAGCAGTTGGGCAGGAAGCGAGCTTCCCCCTCCTCCCAGGTTTTGCACATGTACGGGCTTCCCTTCCTGCCTTTAGATTACAGGTCAGAGCCCAACCACAACCGAAGGCTTGTCTATGCCACAGTTCTTAATTATGCTTTAACACATTAACAGTTGTAAACTGTACCACAGAGAACCAGGGCTGTTGCTGGCACTCTTTAACCCTAGGGCTTTTTCAGTTCATAAACCATCAGGGCACTTCGCTACAGGCTCCCGCGTTTGGTCTGCTTTAAATGCACACATACAGATACAAATTCGCTAATTATGCTGCAATGCAGACCAGCTCATTAAAACTTTGAACCCTGGAGCCAAGGCCGGACTAAAATTCCTGCGGCATTTTGGGCTGTTACGGCGGCGGAGGCAGGAGGAGGCAGCCGGCGGTCCCTGACGCTCAGCACCGCGGACCTGCCGCCTCGCCCAGCTCGGCTTCCCGGGCAAGGCCGGGGGCCGTCCAGGTGCGGAGGCGAGGCCGGCGCCCCCCGCCCGGTCCCTGCCTTCCGCCGGCGGCGGAGCGGCCGGAGGCGCCCGGCGACCCCTTCCCCCGCCCCGGCTCGTTCCCCGCGGCCGCTCCCGCCGCCTCCCCTCGGCACCACCTGCCGCCAGGGA